AAACGACCCCCCCCCCCCATGGGGGATGGCCATGCCGCAATCCCTCCTCCTCCATTCTCCTCTCAGAATCTTGGGATCTTGGGCATGCACGCACAAGCACGCGGCGTGAGTTTTAAGCCACTGGGTCCGGGTCGAGAACCACGGTCGACTATGTGGGAGTCCAGCGACATAGGCATTACACTAACTGCTGGTCCCCATAAAGAAGCCTCTTAAAGACTTAAAAATATGTGAGTAGGCTGCTTATGTAGGCAGAAGCAAGAATGAGTGGGGAACAGGCACTGAAAGGGTATCCAGTCAGTTGTTCTTGCTCAAATTTATGGTAACAGTATGTAAACTGTATTTTATTCTAGAATATTTAGTAACATTTAGATTGAAGAATAAATCTTTTTTATTTTATTTTATTTTTTTAGGTTTTGCCATAGAGCACCTGTGTGCTCACCTATGGAGAGAGACAGTAAAAGGGAAATTGAGAAGCACCCCCTCCCCGGGGGTGGGGCGGAGAGATGACCACACTGCAATCCCTTCTCCTCCATTCTCTGCCTGGGTTTTTGGGCATGTGTACATACATGCCCTGTGTGATTTTTCAAGCCACCAGACCCTGGACTCAAACCATGGTGGGCCATGTGGGAGTCCAGTGGCTTAACCAATATGCCACCTGCTGGCCCTGGATGAAATCATTTTAAGACATTCACTTCAAGATTAAAAAACTTAAGCAAGGGGCCAGCACACAGCTTAATGGTTACATTAGGGACTCCTATGGAGTTGCCCAGGGATGGAGTTCCAGACCAGGTAGCTTAAAACTCATGCCGGATGTGTGTGCGTATGGGGATTGTGGTGTGGCCATCTCCCCGGGGGGTGATTTTGCACTGTCTCTCTGGTGAGCGCACATGCCCTATAACAAAAATCTCTCTCAAAAAAACAAAAAACAAAAAAAAACAAAAAACTTAATCAAGATGTCAATGTGGCTATAGGTTATTCCTGTCATCTATAAATAGAAATTTTATGTAAACTTTAAGTGACAAATTCTGTAAATGTGTTTGTAAGTTTATGTGTAAGTGTGGTTGGCATCATTTTTAAATGTTAAAGGAATTTAAACACTGTAGTATGCTGTATTGGACATGTTATCATTATGTTGATTTGATTCAGTCCGGTAGACATTTGTTATATACCTTCTATATTCTGTGCTTTGGGATATAAAAGAGAATAAGAAAGCCCTCCCTGAAAATAGATTGCCCAGAGCCCATGGGAAGTTCAGAAATGTAACTGGTGATTGCAGTTACATAAAGTTGCTGGTAGAATATGGTCAACTGAGGGGCTGGCGCGTGGTGTGGTGGTTAAGGACACTGGACTTCCTCCCACGTGATAGACCGCGATTTGAGTCTGGGACCTGGTGACTTACTTTCTCTCTCTGTCCATCTCTGATCAAATTAAAATAAATTAATAAAGTTAAATAAGATAATTCTTTTTTTTTTTTTGGAGAGGTTTTCGCTATAGGGCGCGTGCGCTCGCCAGACAGACAGAGAGAGACTTAGAGACAGAAAGCGAGAAATCACCCCCCAGGGGGAATGGTCACGCCGCAATCCCTTCTCCTCCATTCTCCTCTTGGGATCTTGGGCATGCACGCACACGTGCCCGGCGTGAGATTTAAGCCACCGGGTCTGAGACGTGAACCGCGGTCGACTACGTGGGAGTCCAGCGACATAGCCATTACGCTAACTGCTGGTTCCCAATAAGATAATTCTTTAAAACAAACAATGTGGCCAACTGAGGTAGGAAGTGAAGTCATAGGACTACAGATAAAAGTCTTTTTTTTCCCCCTTAATTTTCACTTCGATAGGGCACATGCGTGCAGCTAGAGAGAGAGACAGACAGACAGAGAGAGAAAGAAAGTGAGAAATCACCCCCAATGAAGGATGGCAACACTGCGATCCTGTCTCCATTTTCCTCTCAGTGTTTCGGGCATGTGTGCACACACACATGGTGTGATTTTCAAGCTGCAGAACTCAAACCACTGTGTCAACTATGTGGGATCCAGCATCTTAACCACTACACCACCTGCTGCTTCTGAATACAAGTTTGTTTTTCCTAGGTTTTTGCCGTAGAATGTGTGTGTTCGCTGGAGAGAGACAGAGAAAGAGAGGGGAACGTGAGAAATCACCCCCCAGAGGGCATAGCCACACCATGGTCCTTTCTCCTCTTTTCTCAGGATTTTGGTCACACATGCACCTTATCTGTTTTGTTTTATTTTTAAAGAGAGATTTTTGCTATGAGTTTAAGCCACCAGGTCTGGGACTTGAACCGCAGTCGACTACTGGGAGTCCAGCGACATAGCCATTACGCAAACTGCTGATCTCTCATGTGATTTAAAAAAAAAAATTATTTTATTTAACTTTTACATTTTTTTTTTTTATTTTTAATTTGATCAGAGAGGGACAGAGTGAGAGAGAGGGAATGTGAGAAAACAAGCTGCCAGGTCTGTGACTTGAACTGCAGTCAACCATGTGGGAGTCCAGCACCCTTAGCCACCATGCCACTTGTCAGCCCCCTGATGTGATTTTTAAGCCACTGGGTCAGGGACTTGAACTGTGGTCAACCATGACCACAATTAAGTCTTGTGCCTTAAGCACCACACCACTTGCTGGCCCCAAATACAGGTCTTTTTTAAGGTATAGATTTTTTTTCCTCCCACAAATAAGACTTTATTTATCACTGTTAAAAGTCTGAACTTTTTAAAAAATAAAAAAAGTCTGAACTTTAGGCCAGTAGGTGGCATAGTGGTTAAGGCTCTGGACTCCTACATGGACAACTGCGGTTGGAGTTCTGGATCTGTGACTTGCATTCTCACTTTCTCTCTCTCTCTCTCTCTGGTGAGTATGCATGTCCTATGGCAAATTAGAAAAAAATAAGGATAATAAATAAAATTTAAAATAATTCTTACGAAGTCTGGGGAACCAGCAGTTAGCGTAATGGCTATGTCCCTGGACTCCCACGTAGTCGACCACAGTTCACGTCCCGGACCCGGTGGCTTAAAACTCACGCCGGGCGTGTGTGCGTGCGTGCCCAAGATCCCGAAAGGAGAATGGAGGAGAAGGGATTGCGGCGTGACCATTCCCCCTAGGGGGTGATTTCTCGCTTTCTGTCTCTCTGTCTGTCTGGCAAGAGCACGCGCCGTATAGCATAAAAAGCCTCTCAAAAAAAAAAAAAAAAGTCTGAACTTTAAACAGATTCTTGGAGAGGAGGTTCATATCCATCAACTCATTCAACTTAAGCATAGAACTTGTCCCAGTAGCTTTTTTTTTTTTTAAGAATTATTTATTTTTATTTATTCTTTAATTTTAATTTGACCAGAGAGAGACAGAGAGAGAGAGAGAGGGAAAGTAAGAAAGCAAGCCACCAGGTCCAGGACTCAAACTTTGGTCAGCCATGTGGGAGTGGGAGTATCCAGCGTCTTAACCACCACGTCACCTGTTACACTCCCTCCCACCCCCCGTAGCTTTTTTGCAGCTCCTACCTTCACCATGACATCATGGAGAGGATAGACAGGATTGTGAAACCTTTTCTATGAAAAGTCTTTTCCAGTGCTGTCTGGAATCAGTTTATTGACCACTTCTTTTAAGTCATTTGTCTGCACCTCCTGGGTCATGATTTCTGTCACCTTATTATGGATTTGACAATCTTTTTATAAGCTACATTTCTCAAGTTTTTAATTATTGTTATTTTTTATTTTAATTTTTGCTATAGAGTGCATGCACACTCACTGGAGAGAAAGGAAGAGAGAGAGAAAGCATCTCCTCAGGAGGAATGATGACATGCAATCCCTTCTTTACATTCCTCTGGAGATTCTGGGCATTCACGCACATGCGCCTGGTGTGCTTTTCAAAAATCAGAAGTTTTTTTTTAAGTTTTTTCTATAGGGCAAGTGCACTCTCCAGAGAAGGAAAGTGAGAACCCCTCAACCCTGAGGGAATG